CATTTCCAGCATGTAATATAATGTATCTAAAATATATTAGTTTTAAATTTTATAGTGCAAATTGTGTAAAAGTACATACCTTTTACCATCTGTTTTAATAGCTTTCACGCTTTTTTGGTTTCCATTTTGCCAAGAGCGACCTATGGTCCCATTTTGAAATATCCAAGTTTCATCGAGGAAGACAAACTGGTATAAGGCCTCAACCTTGGCTTGATTGTATTGCCTTAGAAATTCAACCCTTTTCAAAGTTATACTTGGTAGTTCCATGAGCCCTCGTCGCGGATTGTCCTTAAGCCACTTAAATCCAAGATCTCTAAGCAACCGCCTTAAAGACGTGGCACTACCATCAAATAATGCCCTATCTCTTAATCGAGACCATAAAGTTTGTATCGTAACTTGTTCTTCTGAAACCATGTGTAATATGACATTATAATTTAGTTAACAAATTAATGCAAATTTCTGATAAGTTATTATAATAAGATCTTACTTTTGTGATACATATTATAGATCACTTCTCGAATGGCACTTGTATCCAATGTCGCTGTGTTGGTTACACGTTTAATATAACTCCGCTTTTTTTTGGGCGATTCTAAATTTGCATCACTTGTCACACCCTCGGAAATATGACTAACTGTCCTTAAACTAATTTTTAAAGCAGCAGCAACACGCTACAAAAAATGAAATAAAATTTCACTATTATTAATATACATTACATATAATTATTAGTAACCTACCTCTTGAACAGCATTTAAAGGCAACAAAGGCCCGTTGTTGTCCCTTTCTTGCTCAAAGTAGTGCATTAACGAGGCCACGAGTTCCTTACACCGACTATTTAACTGTTTGGGCATCTTTATATACCAAAATTGCCTTTATCTACTCGTAAAATGAATAATTTTGTTTTGAAACAAACAGTTGTTGATTTACAGTATGCGGGGCCAAAGGATTTATAAAGATTTGAAATGCCACAAATTGATTCAGTGTCAAAATTAATACAAATGTCAGTTCCCAGTTTAAATAAGTTTCAAGGTGACAATGTGTCAACGCTGCGAAATCGGTTTAGTGCGTTTACATGTCGATAAGTGATTGGAGCGTTTGCAAAACATTTTATTTCGCATAATGCGTCTAAATTTATCAGAAAGCAACTTATGTGATATTTTAATAACAATGTTTATATGACTATTAACCATAATAAGAGAGTAATGACCATTTTACAATTTATATATCACATTAATATGAAACTGCAATAGAGCAATTGTTTGTGATAGAAACCTAGGCATTAGGTCGGGGAATTTTTATCGTGATGACGTGCACGCCACTTTGTTTGGCGTTGACTATATATACTGTAATTCACAAGAATGCACGTGCTACATTTTTATATTCGGCAAGGAAAGATGATGTAATCGGCATGATTGTGTTACGTTATACATACGTGTACATTATATTGTTTTATATTAGCCATTTTTTCCTCAGTTGGCTGACAGCGTTCATGCAAGATGTCTCGAAAGTGTGTAAACAATCCAGATCAGTTTTGTTACGTGTGTGGTGATGTGACTTTTGCGTCTCAGAGACGGTCTATTACTCCACTAATAACAAAGGCATATCAACTTTATTTCGGTTGTAAACTAGGTGATCAAGACAAACAGAGGGCACCCCACATCTGCTGTAATACATGTGCTTCAAGTCTGGGGAGCTGGTTAAATGGGAAAAAACGGTCTATGCGCTTTGCTGTCCCAATGGTTTGGAGAGAGCCTACAAATCATATTAATGATTGTTACTTTTACATGGTACACAAGCCACAGGTATGTCCATGAAAAAAAAATCTGTTATTAACTACCCAAACATACCATCTGCGGTGAGACCTGTGCGTCACAGTGACGAAAATCCTATTCCAAAACCCCCAGAATCCTACACTTGCGAATCAGAAAACGAATCAGATCATGGCGATCGAGTGATTCGTCAGGAAGAAGATATGCCATCAACGTCAAGAGATCCTGATTTTATACCGAGCACGTCATGCCACCAACCGCACAAAATAACACAGTCAGAATTAAATGATCTTGTAAGAGATTTAGAACTTCCGAAATGTAAGGCAGAGTTACTTGGATCAAGACTGCAGCAGTGGAACTTGTTAGAAGACGATGTTTCGGTATGTGTTTTTCGTAAACGCCACAAAGACTTAGAACCATTTTTCAATATGGAGAATAACTTGGTTTTCTGCAGTAACATTAACGGCTTACTGGCGGCTTTAAATATAAACTATAACCCAGAAGAATGGAGATTGTTTATAGACAGTTCAACATTGAGTTTAAAGGCAGTGTTATTGCATATTGGAAATATTTTATCATCTCTTCCTGTAGGGTATGCAGTTCACATGAAAGAATCATATGACAATATGAAGTACCTATTGACATGCATAAAATACGATGAGCACCAATGGCATATTTGTGGCGATTTGAAAGTTGTTGCAGTTTTACTTGAGCTGCAGCTAGGCTACACAAAGTTTTGCTGTTTTTTGTGTGAATGGGACAGTCGGGCAAAGGCACTTCATTACACCAGACAAAACTGGCCTGTTCGTCAATTCCTAGAGCCAGGTCAAAAAAATGTACAGCATATGCCATTAGTAGATTCGAAAACAATTTTATTACCACCACTGCATATCAAGTTGGGCCTAATGAAAAACCTTGTCAAGGCATTAGATAGAGATGGGTCAGCTTTTCAATACCTGCGTCAGAAATTTCCAAGACTCAGTGAGGCAAAGGTTAAAGAAGGTATTTTTGTTGGGCCACAGATTCGAAATATTTTGAAAGATACACAGTTTGAAAACACTTTAACAGATATAGTATTGAAAAAACTGCTTGGAATGATTTCCGTCTGGTGGTCACTAATTTCTTGGGAAATAGAAAAGCTGACAACTATAAAACCCTTGTCAAAAATATGCTGTCAGCGTATCAAAAGATGGGCTGTAATATGTCTCTTAAGATACATTTCCTACACGCACAACTGGAGTTTTTTCCTGACAATTGCGGAGCCGTAAGTGATGAGCACGGCGAAGGTTTTCATCGGGATATTTCAACAATGGAAAAAAGGTACCAGGGAAAGAGGAATCCTTCCATGCTTGCAGACTACTGTTGGACTCTTGGTAGAGATGCTCCAGAAACGATCCATAAAAGAACAGCAAAAAGACAGCGCATATAGTGATTCTTATAAGTACATGAATCATGTTACTTTTTCTAATATATCCTTAAAAATAAAAAGTTTTTTTTCTAAACCGCAACTAATTTTTTTATTTCATTGTCATTTTTGGATTCAGCGCCCCAAAATTAACAAAGAAGTGCAGTTTTCCCACAAGATACAATTGAAAAACTAAAATTTGTTGTCCAGTGTTATTGGATAGCTCGAAGTTTTTGCTTCTCACTTCTTTGGCGAGGAAGTGTTATCGCTAAACATTTTGAAAATAACATTTTTCTTGTGTCGGCTAATCCTTGATACAGGGTTGCTAATATTCCAAGGACGAAAACACTTTGTAGATTTTGAAAGTGTCTCATCCTTCGTTTTTTGATGTTCCAGAGACTCTCATTTTCAGGAGTGAAGAATTGGGGTTTGGGGTTGTAGGTAAGAGGTTTGTAAATGTTGCATGTTTGATATCAGTGAAAGATATTCCATGCATTTGCCGTTGAAATAAAAATATTTAATATATTTAACTAAGATAATATACCTATAGTCAAAATCACGAAAGATGACTATTACGTCATACCATAAATTGTACTGAAGTAATCAATGGACGTACGTCGATGATAAAATCACGATGTCAGGAACATAATGACAACAAATTTATATTATGATTTTGCGAAATGAGGTTATATCTCTGATTATTTTTATTTTCATTTTATTTCATGGTTTTGAGTGATACCTCGATAATGATTTTAGTGGGGAGTTTTTGTTTTGAAGAAAACAGTTATGAGTAGAATACCTCAAGACAGGAACACCAAAGACCAAAGTATTATTCGAAAACAACCTAACCTGATTTAACATAACCTAACTATCCATGTTTCAAATATGATCGATCATGCAACATGAAAACATCGTCTATCTTTGTCGGATACATGCAAATTACCAATACAGTTTGTTTAGACCAGAGTTCCCCAAACTTTTTTGTGTCGTAGACCCCTTGCCATGTTTTTCCGTGTTGGGTAGACCCCCTACTTACCTGATATTGATTTCCTGTAAATTTCTAACTGTAGTGAAGTTTAGTGTTAAAAACTTAAAGTAAAAACACATGTTAATTTATACATTTATTAATGGAATTTAAATTAAAACTACTCAAAATAAAATTTTGTATCTGTTATGTAAATTATACGTAACATTAAATAAACAGGTGTCTGACCAATAAGTGCCCGCATTGGGAATAAGTGCCCGCATTGAAAAAATAAATAAGAGGGATAAAATAAAAAAAAGTGAAAAATAATAAAAAAAAAGTTTGTTACTTAAAATAGTACAATAAGCTAGTTCGTTTATTAATTATAACATAAACGTATGTTCTACAATAATTTCAGTGTTAGTTTGATTAAATTCCGCTTCTTATACGTTTAAGTTATCTAAAAATAGGCAAAAAATTAACGAATTTTACTGCGTACCTATCCTTGAAATTTCAGAATAATTAAAAAAAAATATTTTCTATAAAGGGGGTTCTTTAAAAAAACAATGCGGGCACTTATTCCCAATGCGGGCATTTATTGGTCAGACACCAATAAACATAAAATAAAATATAAATAAAATAACATAAGCAATAATTCAATATTTTTAGTGAGAAGGATGAACCTGATGCTTTAATAATAAATTATCAACATTTGGCGTCAATTTTGTAAAGCTAATGATGTCCAGTCTGTTTCTTTTTTTGTTAGGAGATTTGTAACAGCGCTAAACCCCCTTTCCACTAGGTATGACGATGGAAAGGAAATTAAAAATTTCCTCGCTATATTCCATAATACGGGATAATTAACGGGTATGTTGTTTTGCAGCCAGAATTGCTGATATCCGTTTTTAAACTGAACCTTAAGTTCTTCGTTTGTACTTAGTTCAGTCAGTTCCTCTTGTATTATGACATTCGTTTCTTCTATGTCACCATATGGATTAATTATCAACGGTGGTATTACCATAGTCAAAATATCCTCAAACCTAGATTCAAAATCTGAATAGAGGGCATTTAAATGTTGAACGTAAGTTGAAACGTCGTCTTCCTGGCAGCTTGTCTGTGACAAATTGGGGAACTGAGAAAATTCGCCCCGTCCAATATTTTGCTTCATTAGTTTAACTCTGGCAAGAAACGCTGATAAGATGGACTTTGTTTTAATCAAATTTAAACTGTCGCCTTGTAATTGCAAATTAACCATATTAAATTTTGTAAACAAATCTGTTAAACAGGCGATGTCTGTTTTCCTCTTCATTCAATTTTCTTTTAAAATTTTGTCTTTAGTATCCAGAAATTCTAAAATAGTCTCAAAAAGTGCAAAAATCTTGTCAAACATAAGCCTTTCGACAGCCAGCGTACTTCAGTGTGAAGGAGTAATTGATGAAAGTGTTCGTCATTTTCTTCACACAACTGCGCAAATATTCAACGCGTTGCTTCGGATTCGGTTTACTGCATCAATGACTAAATGAAGTGATTCATGCATTCTAACACTCAAATTTTTAGCAACTAAATGTTGTCGATGGATGACGTAATGTATTGCTAACACCCCTGACACATTTTGTTTTAAATAGCTTATAAATCCACGATAACGTCCAACCATGGCAGGTGCTCCATCTGTAGCTACTGATATTATATTTGATAAAGGAATGGCTTTTTCAATGAAGTAATCCTTCAAAACATGAAATATTGATTCACCTTTAGTGTCGGTTATCAAAGTTCTTGCGAAGAGCAGTTCTTCGTAGATTTCTTGATTCATATTAAAACGAACATATGCCAATAATAATGCTGCATTATCAGGTAAAGTTGACTCGTCCAGTTGTATAGAGAAATGGGTCGTTTGCAAATAATTACATAAGAAGCTTTCAATATCAGAACTCATTTCATCAATACGTCTTTCAACAGTATTGTTGCTTAAGGGAATTCTTTTAATGATATCAGATGCAGGTTTGTGTAAAACAGTTTTTAAAACATCTTCAAAATTAACTTCTCTTCGATAGTATGCGGTTTTCCGGATTTTGCTATAAGTAACGAGATATTGTACGACGCCCGCAAATCATCATCATTTCTTTGTGACGTCGAAGCGAACATTCTGTCCAGTGTAGGTCTCGTCTGAAATTTATCTTTGAGTGTTTGAAAGTATTTCAAATCTTTCTCTGTTTTATCAGGGTGGCATCTTCTCAGATGATCTTGCAGTTTAGATGGTTTCATAGCGTCATTGCCCAAAACTTTGTTGCATAAAAGGCACATAGGCGATTGTTTGTCCGGCAATGATGGAATGAAGCCAAATTTCAAATAATCAACACAGTACTGTCTACATTTCTTTTTAGATTCGGACATGGCATCAGTCATTTGTGGGCAAAAAAATTATTTAAATAAGACAGAAAATCCAGCAGCTGTATATTAAAAATATTTTTTGTTTTTCCCGAAAACATTCCATAATTCGAACATCTTCTTGCAACAATTAGCTCGAATTACGGAGATTGCACTGTAATTATATTACCGATTGCTAAAACTTTCAAAAAGAAACTATTGAGGAGTACTCGTGTAATTTTGCATGATTGAATATTTAACTACTAATAACTAAAGTCATGATTGGCGTAATTTATCTATCTTTGCTAACTACGAGTGCAAAACTAAAATTTAATAAAAAATAATGTACTTACTTTTCTCCAGCACTCTCAAACAAAATAACACTGACTCACTATAATTTGTGTGATATACTATCTGTTTATATTTTTTAAAATATTTTCTTAGCACTTTCCTTTTCAAGATTCAGGAAACGATTAAACGTATTTGTCCCACATTCGTATTTATAGAGTGACGAATTGAACAAGTCAGTGCAAGGTAGCGAAGCTCTGAGACTGTGACTCTCAGGTTTTTACAAGTTTAAAATGTATTGCGACCACAAAGCGAATATCAACATCCTACAACTTACACAATTTTATAAACATATATAATAAATTTTTTACTTCATAGGTACTTTTATAAATAATGTATATGTTTTGATATTATACGATAGTATGATGTAAGTAAATAGGTACTATCAGTGTATGTGTTGAGATCCACTATCGTGGACCCCCATATTCATTTCATGGACCTCCAATTTTTTTTTCGCTGACGTAGACCCCTTGCAGGTTGTCATAGACCCCTAGGGGTCGATATAGACCACTTTGGGAATCAATGGTTTAGACAATAAAATTCTCTTTGTTTCTGTCTAACATATCTGAAACTTCATTAAAAATATTCACAAATCGCTGTTGTTTGTCTCTACTACAGACTAAAATGATGACGTGATCGTCATCTTTCGTGATTTCTACTATAGTTAGGTTTCGCTTCTATTTGAGTCTTTTGAATAGATGAATGGACTCTATACATTCTCCTCCATGCGGAGGCCCATCATTGCGAGGCTTTTGAGACTGTGTAAAGCTCATGGCCATGTGGACTTGCAATATAAAGTCCCTGGCCGTATCACCGAAATAAAGCGAATTTTTGAAAATCACCTAGGGGCAAAATACTCTTAGAATAGTTTAAATCTTTTTTCGTACAATATTTATCAACTTTATTTAGATAGATCTTGCACAACATTTATCTATGTGGTGTGATCATTGTATGATTTCAAATTAGGTATCAATTCTAATATTCACGTAAATACCCAATTAATGGTAACTCGTTGCAATGACGACACGTGTGTGTGCTTACGTTGCGCAACTGTACATTAGATTATTCGCCCAGGATTACCATAGATAAGGATATGACTGAACATCACTTTTGAATCACGTAGTACGTGGTAGATGTACGAGGGATGTCTGAATAGTTTCCGACCTCAACGTGGAGATGGCAGCACAAATATGAGTTGGATTCTGTGAAGGAAAATCTGCCCCATCATTTACCACAGTGAAATTTTGGGCATTTTTTTTTACTTTTTTGCCTTTCGCACTGTTATCACTGAAACGATTTCTAAAAGACATACTAGTTACTTTATAACGGGTATAGAACTTCAAATTGCAATAAAACAACGATGGATTATTCGATTGATATTATTTTTTTTATTCGAAAGATAATCCTGTGGCATTACATTTTAAATACGATTTCTGACATATAATAATAATGCCTTTATTAACTGCAGTGAGGCGAAGTTAGCCAGAAAAAAAAATACAATTCATTAGAATGACAACAATGATTGCACGAGATAAATGCAGATAGCATTGCGAGAGTTCTAAATTTGAAACAAAAATAGTAGAAAATAGTCAAACAAAAAAAAAATCACATGAGCACAAGAAAAACTGAACTAAATGGACTCCACCAGCTGACTTTTCATTAATTTCTTAAAAGAAACTACCGGTTTGGATCGATAGCCACTGTTGACTGCATTGTAATGCTTGACAGCATTATAGGTGTAACTTCTTTCAAAGACCGAGGTATTGTGAGGAGGCATGTTAAAATTAGCATTAAATCTAAGAGCTCTGGTAACAAAACTACCTTGGTGAACTAATTTGCTAGCGAGGTAAGCTGGTCTTAGATAATAGAACTTTATGCGTGAAGACGGTTAAAAGATATAAAAATAACTTATCAATTCGCAACCAGTTGAGTTCTTTGATTTTATCTGAGACGCGACTAAACTTGCGCAATCCAAAAATAAACCTACAACAGCTGTTCTGAATTTTCTGGAGTTTCATTTTGTGGGGACGTAGTCTAAACATGGGTAATACAGAACAAGAGAGTAAGAAATGACAGACAACACAAGACTTTCAGCAAGCTTTTTTCGGGTTTTAAAATTCAAGATGTATCGATTAGAATAGAGGAGTTTCAAACGCAAATACGTTACTCTAGATAAGAAAGAGACATGCCGATCGAATCTCATATTTAAGTCAAGGGTAACACCGAGATTCTTGGCGTAATCCACAAAAGGGATGAGTGTCTCATCCAAAAAAACACAAATCCTCTGCTTCATTTCACGGTAGGAGTTCTTCGAACAGTACAACATTGCAGTAGTTTTATTAGGATTGATCTTCAAGCAGTGTTTGTTACAGTAATCACCGATGTTAGCCAAATCTAAATTAACTTTAAAAGAAACTTCATCAACCTTTGATGGATCGATACCAAACACTAACTGAGTATCATCTGCATAAGTTTGCATACTACAGTGGACTAAACAGTCTTGCAGATCGATCGTATAAATCAGATATAGTAAGGGACCTAATACTGAGCCCTGAGGAACTCCTGAAGGAACTGGCTCAGAGGAGGAAATTCCCTGATCAGTTTTCACTGTTTAACTTACTCAGTAGTATCTGGTGATTGACCATATCAAAGGCTTTCGAGAAATCTAACAGTACCAAGACGGTGTTGATGTGATTATCTAAATTGTGAATGATGGAATCAGTAAGATGTAATAAAGACGAAGTAGTGCTGCAACCAGCTCTGAAACCTGACTGATGTAGAGGAAATAAGTGGTTTTGTTCGAAAAACTCCACTAATTGTGAGTAGACAGCTCTTTCGAGTATTTTTGATAGAAAGCATAATAAGGTAATTGGCCTGAGATCCGAATATTGTTCTGGATGATTAGTTTTAGCTATTGGAATAATAATACCATTTTTCCAACTGGCAGGAAAGTAACCTGCTTCGAGACAGACATTAATAATGTGAGTTATATGGTCTATGGTATCAGGCAAACATAAGCAAACCATATTTAAAGTTAGACCATCAGAGCCACATGCCGTAGACTTAATGTGAGAGATTATATTGACGATGTCTTGCTGAGTAAGGAGTTTAAAAGCAAACAGAGGTGCATCCGGTGTATGACGTCTATCGCTATAAGAGTTAGAGACACTATCAATCAAATTTGTATTAGCTGCAGCTGTCTGGAAAATTGAAAGAAAATAATTATTTAAAATGTTAGGCTCAAGGAGACTGGGAGGTATCGCAACATGTTTCTGGGCTACCACATTCATCCTCCTCAGGTGTTTCCAAGCTTGACTAGAGTTAAGATTCCGGAAACGTGACATATATGCTTTTTTCTCTCTTCTAAGCGATGCAAGGGCATAATTTCTCAAATCTTTGTAGCTGGCTCAATTCTGATCAGATCTGTTATGCTGATAGACAGCGAATGCCTCATCTCCGAGTTGAAAAATCATTTTCAAGTTAGGAGTGAGCCAGGGCGCAGCAGGTTTTGTGACACGTACTGTACGTAGTGGAGCGTAGAGATCGAATAGATAAAGAAGACGGCCAGTAAAAATAGAGACTTTAATATCCACATCATTCACGAAATAAATGTCATTAAGCTGCATTGATGCAATCTGCGTCTTAAAACTTTGAATATCAATGCTATTAAGATTTCTATATGTTACAAATTTAGGCTCTATTTTTTTATAACAAACGGAAATATCACAGTATGTGAGCCGATGATCACTAATTGAGTCTACATTGAGTGTCCCTGACCTTTTGACGATAGTATTGTCACTAACAAATATTGGATCAAGTAATGTGGAACTGAAGGCTGTAACACGTGTAGGCTCATCAATTACTTGAATGAAATTGAATGAATCAAAGCAGCTGCTAAGGATGTTGTTATGAGCAAGGAAGTCGACATTCATATCGCCCAAAAATATAATTTTGTCATATTGGGGAGTGAAAAATGAGATAAGATTTTCTAAACACTGGATCGCTTGATGTATAGAGCAATGTGGTGGCCTATATATAACAACAATTAACATACTGGACCCGTGCAGTTTAAATTTATAGCATAACATTTCAAGGGGA